AACAACCATTTTTGACAACATTTAGACACGCGCACACGTGTCTAAATATGAGTGGTCCATTTTCATTTAATTTTTTCAACTGGACCACTCAAATTTAGACACGTGTGCGCGTGTCTAAATGTTGTCAAAAATGGTTGTTCAAGTATCATTTTCCAAAGTAAAACTATCATCTCTACAAAAAAGTAAAACTATCATTTCTCTAATATATGTTTGCATATGAAAAAAGAGAGTCTTGTTTTAGGTCTAGATTTTTTAAATAATGTGAGATTATTTGATTATTTTTAATGGAATGTTAGCATCAATTATTTTTACTCAAATCATTATCCATTTTGGAGTTTGTACTTCTTTTTAGTTATGCCTTTAAAAAACATTTCGAATAATTAAAAAAAATATATTTAAATTATTTTTTATTTTAAACTGTATAAAATTATTGAATGTGATAAGAATAATAAATTTTTTTCCTATATCTTAATTATTTTCTTTTAATTTAATTTTATGAGTATTAAGGTTATTAATCTAGTTAATACGTAATAAACATTTAAAAAAAAAGAAATATATTTAAAATTTTGAAGAAAATAACCATTTTCTCGCTAGAATAAAGCAAGAACGAAATAGAAAATTAATCTTTGAACAAGAGAATTGCTAAACTCTTATACACATATATCTGGTATCATCAATATTATATTTATATATGGACAAATAAGCTTTAATTATTCACACGCTCTTAATATTAAACATATAAAGTTTTTAGTTTTGTTAATTTACGTATTTAAATTCGAATTTATCTGTGTAGTAAAATGAATAAGGGCTGAAAAAACCGCTTAATCTTTTTAACAATGGTGATAATGGAGTTTAAATTTAACTCCTTATACTAACTATATCTAAACCCTAACTATATCTAAACCTAGCCAGGTTGATTCAAGTTGGTTCGCTTGATCACATGTTTAATAAGTCTGATTTAAATAAGTCACTAAAATTTACTTAATTTACATATCCGATTAATTTCAAACATCTTTTTTTTTATTAATCTATGAAGGATTTTTTAGTATTGTTAAACAGAAAATTTAAAATTTGTTTTCCAAAATTATGCATGTGGCAACACTAACTAGCTGTTCAATAGTTGTAGTTACCAAAATAATTTCTGAAAATTTAAATATTTTATCAGCAACTTTGCTTTTAAAAGATTGAATATGTCATGAAATTATTCTTAAAAAAGTCCAAATATGCGATATAGAGAGCAAAGTGGTGACAATTATATAGAGAATCGCTTGATAATAAGATTAAATATGTGAGATACTAATTTAGTGATAAAGTTTTAAAGAATTAAAACACAGACAAAAAGAATCTCTTGAGAGAGCCATTTATGAGGTCTAAAAGAAGTATATATAACGTTGGATAACTTCTTTTTAAGAAGGAAATGGTTCTCTTGTAGATTTTAAAACTTCTTTAGACAATGTCTTATTGTAATCGGAATCTTCCAACTTTTTGTGTCACCAATCCTTCGAAGATGCTCCTCGTTCCTTTCCAATATTATACAAACAAAAGCATATGTTGACCTGATAAGCGACGCTGTCGTCATTCTTTTTATATATCATTTTAAGGAACCATATATGGGTTGCTACTTCTTGGTCTTCCTTCATAGCAAGCCATTGTTTGGAGAAAAGAGTAACAAAAAAATAAAAGAGATGTTGAATCTGTTGATGAGAGAAGAGGTACTATTGGTAGTGCAGAACTGTTACCACATAATCTTGGTCGCATTATTCACTATAGGAGTAACATATTTCGCTTCAAAAGCATGGAAGAGAGCTACAACAAACCAAAGAGAAGAGATTCCTGGAAGATTGGGACTGCCTTTTCTAGGGGAAACTCTTGCTTTTCTTTCAGCCACTAATAGCACAAGGGGATGCTATGATTTTGTCAGACTTAGGCGATTATGGTATGTCACTACTTACTTTTCTCTTCCTATATATATACTTGTAAATTCTAAGTGCTTTTCTTTCCGACCAGAATCTGCTCTTGTAAGATAGAAGCTTTTTCATTCTGAACAGAAAAGTATTATAACACATACAAGGACCAGTGCTTGTTTATTAAACCTAGCCTCAACTTTCCACTCACCTAACGACTTTAAGTTAGAACATGTCGACAAGTTATTAGAGCTCATAACTCATGGAAATGTATTACTTCATCGCGTCATACAGATCGGTTGAACAGCTGACTTTCTAGCTATACATGCTCATCATAATTAAGACGTTATTGTACGGTTGAATTTTAGGATAAAAAATGTCTGTTCGTCGTGTTACACATCATCTCATTAGCACGATTATTACATAGTTGAATTTTCAGGTTACAGTAAATTTCTAATCAGAGTGGGGCTGTTTTGAAAATAACCATTAACAAGTGAATCATTGGCTAGTCTGGTTTAAAAATTAGACAAAACTTATATATAGTTCTGTCTATTTTTTGTGTTATTTTTGTCTTAGAAGCTTGTTTGAAGTTACCTAGACTCAAGTTTAATTATTAATTATTGTAAAACAATACAAAGACACGTAAATGTAAGTTTTTAAGTTTCGTAGAACTTGATAAAACATACTGTAAGCTATATTAAAGGCGGAATATGCTTTTTTTTCTTCATATAATCCACTTTTAAGGATAAAATATAGATATTAAAAAAAGTAAATTTTGGTAGTTGTAAAGAAAAAGAGAGATTGAAGGATAAAACATGTAAATATCAAGTGCGTAAAAAATTTTTAGCTATCAAAATAAGATGTTACATTAAAGTTGGTATGTGTTGAAATAGGAATGGAAGATGGTTCAAGACAAGGCTATTTGGGAAGATCCACATATTTGTTCCTAATCCTGAAGGAGCAAGGACCATATTTGCCAATGACTTTGTACTGTTCAACAAGGGTTACGTGAAATCAATGGCAGATGCCGTGGGAGAGAAAAGCTTATTATGTGTACCCGTTGAGAGTCACAAAAGAATAAGGCGTCTTCTATCAGAACCATTTTCCATGACTTCCCTATCCGCATTTGTCACCAAATTTGACAAACTATTGTGTGGAAGGCTACAAAAGCTAGAAGAAAGCGGGAAAAGTTTCAAAGTGTTGAACTTTTATATGAAGGTAAAAACAATTTTTACGACTTTAACTTATATACCTATAGATTTTATATTGTAAACTTAACAGAGATAATGATAGATATTTACTATAATGACAATTTATTATTAGCTGATAACATATTTCTTTTTTATATTATCAACATATAATATTTATTAGAAGAAACTATTACCTTGTCTAAGAGTACGTGTTTTCATACGTAAAAAAGAAAAAAATTTCAAGGCGATTATTTGTGAGCATGAACTGAAATAATGTGGCCATATATTGCATAAAAATCAACCAGAGTCCAATTATCAGAATCAAATGTATATGGACCATTTTATGCTTACTCTGCTTAGTATGATGATAATAAAGAACATATTAACCATTTAAGTGGTAGAAATGCCCACATATGGTCCCTTTTTGTTTTCGGCTTTTTAATCATAAGTATACTTATCTTCTCTGGAAAGTGCAGAGCATTAGCAAACATTTACATAGTAACCCAATTAATTTACCAACATAATTTTGACGGTGTGATGTGATACCGCTGTGAAGTCTCAAGTAGACTATATGTGCTCCGAGTCCTAACTCCTATGAACTGTTTGCATATAAAGATGACATTCGATGCAATGTGTGATATGCTGATGAGCATCACGGAGGATTCATTACTACGACAGATCGAAGAAGACTGCAACGCCGACTCTGACGCCATGTTATCCATTCCCATCATGATTCCTGGTACCAGATACTATAAAGGCATCACGGTTAGTGATATCTTTTAAAAAGTATATACACACACACACATTACAAGTTCTTCAATATAAATATTTGTTCTTTTAAAAAAAATTACCATAATAGACGTACCTAAATTTCTATGGTCTACTTGTTAATTTGAGTACAAAAATAATAATCAAACTTGCTTTTTTTTTCTTTTATTGTTTTTTGCGTCTGAGGTTTAATGGGTAAAATAATTAAGTTTAGTGGTTGATGAAAAAAATCAACTGTTGATATCACGGCACAACGTCATAATAAATAATTGTTGAAATATCAATTTTTTTCTCATCAAAAATTAAAATCAATTTCTTTATTTATTCAATCTTGAACCAGTGAAATCCAAAAAATTGAATAAAATATCAATTCAGTCTTTAAAGTAATCACCCTCCCTCCAAAGCAATCTCTAACCTGATCAAATTATACAAATAATTACGAGGTTTGATCTGTTTAAGGACTCCTTAGGAGAGAAGATGATACTTAAAAACTAAATTGAAAAATAATTCCTAAGGTTTTATTATGGTTAAGCAGGCTCGTAAAAGGCTCATGGAGACCTTCAGAGAGATCATTGCCAGACGTAGGAGGGGAGAAGAAACTCGAGAGGACTTTCTTCAGTCCATGTTGCAGAGAGACTCACTCCCACCCAGTGAAAAACTTGATGACTCGGAGATAATGGATAATCTGCTGACATTGATAATTGCTGGACAAACGACCACGGCAGCGGAAATGATGTGGAGTGTAAAGTTTCTACATGACAACAGAGAAGCGCAGGACATACTCAGGGTGAGATGCTGCACATATTCTAGTCAAACCATGGACCCAAACTCAACTAAGATTAATTACCAACCATAAGTATTAGCATTATATTTAACCGAATCAACAGTTGAATTTTCTGTCATATCCAGTATTGTTGTAAGTGTCATTTTGATGCTATTTGGAAGGGATAACCACGTTTTTCTTTCTCAAGGTGGTATTAGGTACGAGAAGGAAGTTCATTGTAGAAAACTATGTGCTCACTTGCACAAGAAAAAATGACCAGAGTTTCATCTTGACTTAC